CACACCGACACTTCACACTCACCCACACTCTTATGAAAAATATTTTACAATATTTTAATAATACACTTTCTTATTCTTTTACATCTTACACAAATTTTATATATTTCTTGAACATGAAATATATTTTAAAAAAATGTTAACATCTATTTAAGTTTTCCAAGTGCTAAATGATAATAACGACCACGTAGATCAAATAATTCTTGATGAGTTCCACTTTCAACTATAACTCCATTATGTAAAACACAGATCATATCTGCATTTTGAATTGTTGATAAACGATGTGCTATTGTAATTGATGTTCGATTTTTTTGAGCTTGATTTAATGCTTCTTGAACTATCCTTTCATTTTCACTGTCTAATGCACTTGTTGCTAAATGATTATATACACATTATATAACAATGATTGTTTCAATCATCCTACCTTCATCAAATAACAATATCTTTGGATCTCGAATTAATGCTCGAGCAATTGCTAAAAAATAATAGTAGATAGTTTTCTTCTTATAAACTCCTTTCAATATGTGTTCTTACCAATTCGTTGTTTTTCTCCACCTGATAATTGAGTTCCTTTTGCACCACAATTTGTATCATATCCCTGAAAAAAGATATTTTCGCTTTTTTTTTGGAGAAAGAAAAATGCTCATTGTGTAACTTACATTTGGAAGTTTTTGAATAAAATTATGTATATTAGCATTTTTAGCTGCTTCAATGATTTCTTCAATAGGAATATTACTTCGACTATTATCACCATAAGCAATATTGTCTTTTATTGACATATCAAATAAGACTGGTTCTTGTGAAACAATACCAACTAAAAGATATCCATGTTAAATAGAAAAGAAAGAAGTCGAAATGAAGTGTATGATATACTTTGTGATCGATACCATTGAAGATTCAGACTTCGAATATCTTTTGAATTAATTAACTATGAAAATAAAATAAAAGAGTGCACATGTGAAAAGAAATGAACTAACCAGTTGACCAACATTTGAATCATAGAAACGTTCGATTAATTGAATGATCGTTGATTTTCCACAACCAGATGTACCTTCATAGATAAATGGATTTATTGAAATTAAAGATATTACAAAGACAAAAAAAAAGAAAACTGATGTTTACTTACCAACGAGTGCAACCTGTTGACCTATGAAAATAAAAATTCATATAAATGAATAAATAAATGAATGCAAAGATGACATACCAGCCCGAATTTTAAGTGTAAAATCTTTAAGAACAACTGATTCAGGTCTGTTTGGATAAATGAAATGAACATTAACAAATTCTAAATCACCATTAAAGTTTGGCTGAAACAAAAGAAATAGAAAGAGAAAACGATCAATATTATCCAAATTTGTGAATATTGACTAACTATTTCATCACCATCAGATGAACCATTATCAATAGACGGTGTTCGATTCAATAGTTCTAAAATTTTTTCAGCAGCTTGAATAGCTTTGCTATAATCTGGAGCCCTAATAAATCAAACAAAGAAAAAATGTTTATATGATTTTTGTTTGATCATTTCGAATATTTACATAGATGCTGTTTGTCCAACATATTGTGCACCAAATAAAATACAATTAAAACACCTAGAATCACATGAAATTATAATATTCTAGAGATAGTTTTATTCTTACAATAAAAAAGCTTCAAATGTGATTTTATCTTTCTGTACTAAATAAGCACCTAGTCTAAACAGTGCTCCTAAACTACAATACATAATTGAGTTTGATAATGAATAGAATAAACCAAAGAGATTTGCTCTTTTTTTAGATGATCTATAATACAAATATTATAATAGATTCTCAATTAAATACAAAAAAAAAGTATAATACCGATAAGGATTTTCAAGAAGTGAACAATATTGTTCATAAAAATATTCTTCTTTAGTTAATTGTACAACTGTTCGAATATTTTGTATAGATTCTACTGTTACCTAAAGAACATATATAAATTAAATAAATAATATTCATTATATAAATAATAATCGAACCTTGCCAGCATTTTCTATTGATTTTTTATCTTTACTAGCAAATCCTTTCATTAAATAATTTTTTAAAAAACTTCCAGCAACCATAAATGGAACAAAAGCAAGAACAAGTAATGCCAATTGCCAAGAAAACACAAAATTAATTATAATACCAGTACTAAGTGTAGCTATGTTTTGTAACATTGTTCCAATACGAATACCACTTGCTCCTTGTACAGCAGATGCTTCAGTGGCTAAACGTGTACATAATGCTCCTGTATTGTTATCTGGATGATCAAAATAAGCAATTTCTTGACGTAAAATAGCACGAAATGTTTTAGAACGAAGTCTTTTCGTTAGTGCTTCACCTGAACAAGCAAATAAAAAACTCTAGATAAAACAAAAAACAAAAAATAAAAGAATACACATATTTCGAATCATTCAAATAGAAGAACGCACTTGAATAAACATTGTAGTTAATGATAGAACACCTAAACCAATAAACCAAATTATATAGACTAGAATTCGGTGTTTTTGAACTTCTTTATCACATTCTTGAAAGACCTTTTCAATAAGATCAATATGTTAATATAAAGATTAGAATAATATGAAAAAAAAATAAGACCTACTGCAGTTAACTTGCTTAGAATAACACCAAATGCTAGTTGAATACCACCATTACATATACATACGATACATCCAAATACTATTAATGTCCATTCTGGTTTGTTCATAATTAACACTTGTAAAGCAGTATTAGGCTTTTTTTCCTAAGAAATCATATTGATTGAAATAAAACTAATTTTCAATTTTACCTTTTTCTTTTTTAATTCAGTAGTTTGTTCTTCAACTTCTTCTTCATCTGTTAGTAAATTTTTTTTTTTACTATTTAATTTATTCATAGCTGATGATGCTACACTAGCAACAGTTGAAGCATATTTTCTTTCAACACCTACTTGAATTTCTTCAATATGATTTGGTACATTTGATCCACTACGTTCCTGTAGTTCAAGAGCTAATTGTTCTTCTTCTGCAGCTTTACGTAAATTTTGTTGTTCAACAAGAGTAAAATAAGTTCCACGAGCATCTATCAATGATTCATGATCACCTTCTTCAACTACATTACCTTTATGCATCACAATAATTTTATCAGCTGTACGAATTGTCGATAGACGATGTGCAATCACTAATGTTGTACGACCTAATACCAATAAACAATATCATTATTGAGATACTTCAATTGAACTTCTAGTATACCTTCAGCAGCACGATTCAAAGCTTCTTGAACTAGTTTTTCACTTTCATTATCAAGTGCACTAGTAGCTATTACGTATATAGAAAAAAGAAAGATACAATTATGAGAAGAAAAATAAATGAATATTTACCTTCATCAAGAAGTAAAATCTTTGGATCTCGAATCAATGCTCGAGCAATGGCTACGAAGAATTTTATAAAAAAAAAGATGATCAACATTCTCATATATATTCTTATTACGTGCTTACCAATTCTTTGTTTTTGTCCACCTGAAAGCGTAGCTCCACGTTCACCTATTCGAGTTTCATATTTCTATAAATACACATGTACAAACAATACAAATAATCAAACAAAAAAAAACTACGAAGAATAACATTAATATTGTTAATGTATCACGTACATTAGGTAAAGTCATAATAAAATCATGCGCATTAGCCATTTTTGCTGCTTCATAAACCTCTTTATCAGTTGCTGTATCTTTTCCAAATAAAATATTTTCTCGAATAGTTGCTTGAAATAAAATTGGCTCTTGACTAACAACACCAATACGTTGTCTTAACCATTTTAAATTATATTCAGTAATTTGATGGCCATCAATAAAAACTGAACCTGAATCAGAATCATAGAATCGTTGTAATAATTGTACACATGTTGATTTTCCTGAACCAGATGATCCAACAAGAGCAATAGTTTGACCATGTTTGACATCAAATGAGACACCATTAAGAATTTTAATACCAGGTCGTGATGGATAAGAAAAATGAACATTTGAAAAATTAATATTACCAATAAGATCATCTTTTTTCAGACCAGTTTCTGAATCGCTATTGATTTTACATGGCTATAAAATTGATAGGCCGCGAATAAAATATTTTTATCTAGATGAAATTTAATTATCTACTTACTGCATCAATAACTTCCCATACAATGTAAGCAGCAGCTCGAGCTTGAGCTAAAGCTTGAAAATGTGGACTAGCTTGACCCAAATTAAAAATACCGATGATAATCCACCAGAATACCTAAAAATAATAATTTTTATTGAAAAGACAATGATCAAAATGACTGTAAAAGCTCTTTTTATAGAGAAATATCTCAACATCATTTATCTCAATAGCAACAATACGATATCGATTCATACTTTATTTCTAACGAGCATCCAATATGATTTTCGAATAATATGAAACAAATTATCAAATTTATCTAAGTAAAATTAACTTACAATGAGAACATCTCCAATATTATATCCTTCGTCTCGAATTAATTTTCCTCCATACCAAAATGCTGTTGTTAAAATATAAATTATATAAAAAATAATTTAATCATTAATATAAACTAAATACCTAATGCATATGCACAAAAGATTATAAACCGCACAGATCCCATTGTTACACCATTGATTATACCTTTCTTTATACCATTTCTTTTAGCTTCGTCAAGATGTTTCTCATATCTATTAGATGCAAGTATATTATTGTACAAAAAAAGACATAATGAGATGATTTATTATTGAAATCCAACCTTTTCTCTTCTCGCTCTTGTCCATTGTAAGATAGCACTGTACGAATTGAACTAAATACTTCTTCAGCTATTGCTCCTGCTTTACCATACGCTTTTAATTCCATTACTGTCAAATCGGAAGCAAGCTACAAATAGATATAATGATCTATTTTTATTTTTGCTTTCGAATATCAACAACTTACTTTGGAAAAGAATGTAGCTGCAACAAATAGTAATGGAGCCGTAGATAATACAACTAATGTGAATTTCCATCCTTTAACAAAAGCTGTACAACAAATATATTAAAAACAATAGCTTTCTATTCATATATAAACTTGCCAAGAATCAATCCGGTAAAAAAAACAGCTATAAATTGTGCTGTTGAACCAAGTTTATCTCCGATTCCATCATGAATTTTATCTACATCATCTGTCAAATTTATATTAAGTTCACCAGTTTTATGTAAATCAAAATAAAGAATTTCTTTTCGAAGAATCGATTGAAATAATTTCTTTCTAATAGTTTTTGTTTGTCTTTCCGCTGCCATACTCCAAAATACTACTTGAGTGTAACCCAATATAATACTAACACAAGCAATAGCAACTGCATAAAGTGTTTGCTTTTTTATTTGACCTTGAAAATCGAACATAGTTCGATTAAAATGGCAAACACTAAATAATAATAATTTTTTTTTTTTTAACTTTGTTTTAGTTTTAGTTTGTTTAAATAGATACTTACGCAACTGATGATAGATAATTCGATGCTGTTAATTGATAATCTGGTGGACAATAGTCAATAGCAAGAGCTGTAAAATTAAGTCCACATAAATCAGTAGATCGATCAGTAAATGAATTTAGAAGATTGCCAAATACAAGAATCATGAGTTGGAAAAGAAAACCATTAGCTAGACCTCCGAGAGTACCGACTAACATGTAAATTATATCGATCATTGTAGCATATCGAAACTAAAATAAGTGTTACAATTTTTTTACAACAAAATAAAACATTATCTCTTACCAAACTTGCAAGGCTGACAGCATTTGCAGATTTTTTATTTTCTTTTTTATCATGAAATCTTTGAAAGAACTTTGGTCTTTTGAAATTTTCTTCATTAGTGGAAGCAGTAACACTATATAAAAGAAGAAGAATATAATATCAAGTTTATCGTTTATCATACTTTGCATCACTAGTTTCATTTTGATTGTCATCAAACATTTCTTCTTTATTATTAAATATCTTTGTATTATATTTATTACCCATTATGAGATCTCTACTCGAAGAAAGTACACAAAACGAGCAGAAGTGAATGCTTTGACTCTACGGCATCATTCTTATAAATATTTCAACCGTCGCAAGTTTTCACACTTGAATAAAATGTGTTAGGATTTAACCAAATACACATATTGACTCATATTAATATACGTATACAATATGACGTGTTTTATTATTTTTATCATATACTGTATGAATACAGTGCAAACAAATGCGCACTGAAAGAACGGCTAGTATGTAACCTTTAAATAGAATAATATAGGTAATATTTTCGACTAAGGAAGCACTAGACTATTAGTTCTTTATTCTCAACTTTTTCGACTTTTTTAATTGTTAAATATTTTAAAAGCTCTGCTTACTTTTTTCTGAATCTCAACTTTGCCTGATGCATATACGAAAAAGCATAATCCTGTATCCGAAATAATAATAATACCATAAAACATGATTAATAATTAGTTCCAGTGATTTTCATTTGGATTATACCTTGGTTTTTCACATCATATAGCGAATATACAAAATTTTAATAAAAACCTTTTTATTCGCAAAAAAATCCACATAATATGCCAAGACCATTATTTACTTGGAATTACTTTAGTCACCTTTGCAAATAAGGTCGAATGAGCTACTAGATATTGAATGAATTTATTCGGAGTTCTACAAGTAGTACTGGAAAGATGAGAAATCACTTATTGACAATTCATCGAATAACATAATCTCAATAGGATGGTAAAATAAGAGTCGAGAAAATGTTTTTTCTCCTTTGTGAAATTTGCTTCACAAGACAAGTATCATAGATCTTCAAATAATTATTTTATATACTGTATGTATTTAGAAGAAAAAAGATCAATTAAAATTAGCTTCTATATATCCAACAATAAAATGTAATATTTAGTGTGATAAATACAAGTATTAATCTTACATTTATTTTATCATTTGTTATCTCGATTCGAATTTATAATTGCAGCAGTACAGTTTAAGAAATAGAACCATTTGATGAACCATACACAGAAGAAGCTATCAAAGATCTTTTTTTCTATTGCTATAAACGAATTTAATTCAAATTTGGAACAATATAATCATGGTGAATAAAGCATACGTAGTAATTTTTATCAATTATCTTATGTTTTTTGCTTTTTCTTTGACAAGATCTCTGATATTGGTTCACACAGGCATAAAGTATGAAAACCATTGATGATTATACATATGCTTTCCATGGCTCATGGTATTCATAATTAGTTAATCATAAATAGTGTCAGAGAACACTTACAAATCTTTCACTCTTTACTTTGTTCAGCGCTTCATCTTTCGATAAATATATCAACTTGTATTTCTTTCTTTTTCTTCTTACTTTCTCACATTCTCCTACCTACCATACATATTTATGTCATTCCTTGTCACTAAAAATATCCACTGCTGCACATGTATGGGACATTGTTTTTTTTCCTTCGTGCGCAATACGAACACGTCATTAAAATTATGCTCTATCTTTTTCTCTCTATTCTTTATAATCTACGTATTTTTTTCTGTGTGTTAGTATAAATAGAGTTTACTATTAGTAAATTATGATTATTATTTTTTGTTCGTTGGATGAAATTAAATCTCCTGATCGATCAGTAAGTAAAAAATTGGACTTTGTAGTAAATAAGCAAATGTGATAATAATTTTTTTTTCTATCTAGTGACAGATAAAGAGATGTCTTCTCCCGATACAAGCAATCCTGCATGATATTCGTCTCATCTTTTTCTTTCCAACGGATATATATCAAGAAAGTAGCATCTTTGTGTGGTTAAAGCAAACAGCCACAACACTATTATTCGAAATATCCATTTTTACAATACGCCGTTAGATATTCTACCAATGCTCAATATAAAAGTTGAAGAATAATGGTACAAACATTCTTTTTTTTATCTAGATGCAACAAGGAGCGTGTCTTCCTAATTTAGAGATCCACTATTACATTCATCTAACGAACACTCGTCTTCACAACCGAGGCTTATGTGTTTGAACTATCTTGGCTGTCCGTGTGGGTGGACGAAGGTAGAATATAATTTTTTTGAAGCGAAATAAACAAAGTGGTAACTCTTCCAAATTTCAAGCTCCACCTAGACTCTATTATCGTGAACAATTGTCTCCGTACGTAGCACTAACATTTTTTCACTCCTTTGCTTACCTGCTTTAATGGACTATAATTCAATCAGTTTTTCCTGAACGAGATAGATGAATTTGTGTGTTTTCTAGATTCAGGAATCGACTATGCCGCTGATTTCAGTAACATTTGATTTGATTCACATCAATTGTATAATCACATCCCATGGCTACACACGTGTAACGACAAAGGTAAGAACATTTCTTTTTCAGCTCTCTATATACACTATCCTGTGTGTTCTACATTTGAGAATATACCGTCAGATCATATTTATGAACATTCGTCTCGAGGGTGTTGATGTGGGGTGTGGATGTGGCGTCTTCCTTTACCCACACCCGATATAGATGGAAAACAACAGAACAAATGTAAAATTATGTCATCGTATAGTAAAAATACATTAGTTCGCTAGTTTAAAACAGCCTATATGTACACTATACGAAGAATGGGAAAACATTCGATGGTATGGTATATGTCACTATTAAATAGTGTTAATATAATTGCACAATGTCAGTAACATTCAACATAAAGTTAGTCTATACAGAATTTACTTTTGCAGTTTTTCTGCAAAAGCAAATCCTGTCATTTTCAGTAGTCTTTCTTTATACGTTGTCAATTACATATCTTTTCGCTGCTGTTAAAACAAAATATGTTATATCTAAAAAGTCGTTCCATATATACTTATATATAATCAAAACTGATTTCTTTTACATATATTGTATTGAAGAAGGCACAGCAGACATCATGGACGAAATAGCGTTTCGTCTGATTCTGCTGCGCCCACATCGAAAAGGATGAGTTGTACATGTACTTGCTTACCGTGTTATATTTCATTGGTGAAAACTGCATTGGTTGGCGAGAATGTTGTTTAATTTTCGATAGTAGCATAGCTTTACGAACACTCATCTGCCTTCCTGGAAACTCATATAGTGCATCATATGTATGGTTTCATGTGATAATTAACATGAAACAAGTGTCTGTTGAAGAAACATTATCATGTTTGCTGAGTGTTACTATGTGTTATCATCAAGATACTGTGTCTATTGAATAATCTGTTTTCGATTTCATAACACAAGGTTGTTTTATTGTGAAAAATACAATTATAAATCATTTTGTTTCTTATTAGCTTGCAAGAAAATGTCTCTTTAGGTGCTAAGCTTTTTATAACTCTGATTACATCATGCTTTTGTAAATCAATGCGCACAGTATTGCATCCTAGTCGAAGGTATTTCTTCGTTTGTTCTTTGAGGTCTAATACACTCCAATAACAATTATTTTCAAATGGTGGAAAAGTACTATACTAGATTTTTCAGATGTCTTGCATGATTCATATGTTCGATCTATTTAAGTGATATTCAGGTTCTTTTGAAGTATTAAGCCATGACTAAATATCGTGCATTCTCAACTATGATAATTCTTCGAAATCAAGATGTGTCAGATATCCATCCAGGAAATCGAGATGCTGGAGAAGTGTAGGAATATACCAAACTATCTATAAGCAGATGATTCTATTATAGCAGGTATAGATATAACATCCGTGTATCTCCAAGTACATCTTCCGGCATCTTCTGAAGAAATTTGTTGTTTATTTTTAGTTTAGGACTCTTGCAGGAGATGCATCTCTCTATACTTCTTCAACATTTATCGATATTGGGAATATTGACATCGCTATTGAAATCAAGGAAACTAGGTCACTCTAGAATTCGTTGAAACATTCTTAGTTTCACTCTTACTTTTAGTATCATACTTACTCTCAAGATAATGCTGAGATGATACAATGAGAAAGATTTTAATCGGTAATATTTCAAGGAAACAATGAAAACTAAAATCATCGAAACTCCAAAATACTAATACTGTGCTTGTCTCAAATATAAATGATTGTTTCTGCTCATGTGCTAGAAATTCACTTATCATTTCTAATGAGTTGTTCGACTGGCTTCTTATAATTTCATCGAAACTCTCTTTGCTGAAAAGTTCATTTTCGCACTGCTTAATATTTTTCTTTTCAGATTTTCTTTATAAACTTCGTCATTTAAGTATATTAAAAAAAGCATGGTGCCACCATTGTACGTATTACGGCAAGTATTCGAATCAGCAAAAATGCATCCTCAAAAGGTAGCTGTAGTGCTTGATGATCAAGTCTGGACCTACAGTGAATTGACTGAAGAGGTCGAGCGTGTAGCGCATCATCTATACCGTTTACACGTCGCTCAAGGACAAATTGTTTACCAGTTTGTGGAACGAGGACTTGAAATGATTTGTGGTATGTTGGGTATAATGTGTGCTGGTGGTGTATACTGTCTATTAAATCCAGCAGATCAGCATGAACGTGTTGTTTCAGTTCTCGGTCAAATAGATGGCCAATGTGTTCTACTGCATGGAATAACTCGTCATAAGTTTCCATCAACAGCTGTTCCACATGTCGTTCGATTGGATGATATTCTCGTCCCACTGTTAAGGGTTGAAGATATAGACGATATTCCAGATTTTTAATAGTGCGGTCCTGCATGCATTGTTTGTACCTCAGGCACAACTGGACGACAAAAAGCAGTAGTGCACACTCACAAAAATTTTTCGGCAAGTATTGCTTCTCTTACTCAACGGTCATTCAGAAAAAAATTGGTATGGCGACCAAGTTCTTCAGGTTTCTACCTGTTCATGGATCACACGTCTGGTAGAAATAGCATTGGCTCTGACAACTGGTGGCACTCTTGTGCTTATACGACCAGGTGCCGTTTATGATATAGCCTATTTTTGTCGAACTCTTGTATATCAACAAATAACAGCACTCTTAATCAATCCTGCTCTAATTCGAGCTCTTTGCAAGTATCTCGAGATGAGTAAACGATTGGAAACGTTCAGTTTTGTTCGTAACGTGTTCATAGGAGGTAACTACGCACTTGTCCATTTGAATGTTGAATTTATTATATGTCTTACTCGTTCTCGTATATTTAGGTGATACTGTGAAGTATCAAGAGTGGACACACTTTCTCAGATTTTTAACTTTGTTCAATCCTCGATTTTTTTCTGTGTGGGGTCTGTCTGAATGCCATGTGTCAAGTGGGTGTCAAATACAAAATATCGATGGTACTGATATACCTATTGGTTATCCGTTGCCAGGCATTCAATATTTAATCATTGATGAACAAGGTGATATGATTAGCAATACAAACAACCCAAGTGACATTGGTGAAATTCATATTGCAGGTCAACTGTATTCATTCCAATCATTGTTCATGCCTATTTTTTGTTTGTCTTTGTAGGATCAACTCTATTCAACTGCTATTTAAATGAGTCAGAGCGTACTACCAATAGGTTTGTCACTATTAAGAATCAAGTTTATTTGAAAATAGGCGACTTAGCTCGATATAACACAAGAGATGAACTTGTTTGTGCTGGGCGTGTTGATTTTCAAATTAAAGTACGTGGTCAATGAATTGAACCAGCTGAAATTGAAAATGCAATTATGAGCTGGTCTCCTAGTAAGATCTCGAACTGTTTAGTCATCAAAGTTTCCCAAAACGATGATATGCTTATTGCCTATGTGGTGTCAAATGATTTGGAACTCAATACTGACGAAATTCGAGAATATTGCAAGAAGTATCTTCGACGATACATGGTTTCATCTTACTTTATTGTAATTGATAAATTTCCAATCAATGCCAATGGTAAAATCGACAGAAAACAACTTCCAGTACCGTCATTACGGTTGGATACATCAACTAACTTTCTCCAAATAGAAGATCGATCATTGTCAGAATTAGAAGACCAAGTACATAGTTTGTGGCGTTCTACCTTAAGACTTGATGCAGTTTCTCGTCACATGAATTGTTTTGCTTTGGGTGGTTCATCGCTTTCATTGACGCAAATCTTCAATTATGATCAGTTTCATTTGGCTCCAAATAAACAACTCAATGTACTTGACTTTTTTGTTAACCCAACTATTGCTGAGCACATTCAGCTGTTGACAAATAGCAAAACAAAACCACATATCATTTAGACTTCACTTCATCTAATATAAGGTACGTTCCCTCTATTAAAAACAGCTCGAATCTAATTACACTTAATTTCAAATAGGAGTGGCCTCATTTGCTCAACAACGTCTCTGGATGGATGAAAAGATACGTTTTAATGAGTCAATCAATGGACAAACATCTGTTTATAATGAATTACTCATCTACAAATTAACAACAGCCACTTCGTTATCAATAGATCGTCTTCGTCAGGCTCTTACAAATATTATTGGTAAATATGAAATATTTCGTACAGCATTAATTTATGATCAAGACAAACTCATGCAGAAGATACTTCCGATATCAAATAATTTGTTCGATTTAGAAATCACATGTGTAATGAATAATACTCATTTGAAGCAAATCGTATTAAACGAAGAAACAAATCGATCTTTGTTCAATCTTGAGCAAGGTCGAGTGTTTCGATGTCATATTCTTTGTCAATCATGTAATAACAATGATGACAACAATTGAAAACAAGACGACATTATTCTTTTCAATTTTCATCATATTGCTATCGATGGTAGTTCAATTATCATATTCATTAATGATCTTCGACAAACTCTTACAATGCAAGCATTATCTACCAACAATAAAAACAATATTACCTATCTTGATTATGCACAATATGAACGATTAGAAGACTGGTTGAGTGCTCGAAAATATTGGAAAAAATGTCTTAGCAAGCTTAGACAATTTAGTTGATCAACAAAACTCTTTCATACGAAGTGGCAAGGGTTATACAATAATTTTCGATCTTGATCATGATTTTGTTATTAATTTGAATCGTTTTATTTCGCAATCAAATTTGACACTTTTCAAGTTGGTCTCGCTGCTTTCTTTTCAAAATGTCCAATAGCCAGCAGCTAGATTTGTGTACAGGTATAGTTGTGGCCAACAGATCTCAATATCAACTTCAAAACATGATTGGTTTTTTTGTCAATGCTCTACCATTTTGTTTGAAGATTGATCCGTACGAGTCTTTTACTCAGCTTTGTCACCGAATTCAACAACTTTGGTTTGATATTCTTCCACATTCACATTTGCCTTATCAGGAGATTGTTAAATTTAATCTAAAATTAGGAATATCCTTCCTTCGGACACTCTATCTTTTGGAGACGATAATGGATAATAGTGAACAAAATATAGAAAACGACAACGAAACGACATTTAATATAGTAGACGGAAACTTACTGACTGGCAGTACTACTAAATTTGATATAACTTGTACACTGCGTGAACATCGTCAAAACGAGACAATTTCTGTTTCGCTTAGTGCTTCACTCGATGTTTATAACGAATCGACTATTTCCACAATGACAATGCGTTTGAAGAATATTTCCGATCAACTCTTTTCTATTTCCTCCATCTATCAATTTTCGCTTTTACTTCCACATGAAGTTGAATTATTACATGATTTGAACCATACTTTTCTTGATTATGGTCATATTGGTTGTATTCATGGGGATTTTGCTGATCAAGCTCATTTACATCCTCAAAAAGTGGCGTTAGTTTTAGAAAATGGATCGCTGACTTATGTTGAACTGCTTTTCTATGCTCAACAGTTAGCTAATTATTTAATCATTAAATGTGCTGTTCAGCCTGGTCAAATTGTTTGTCAATTAATAGAACGATCTTTCGAAATGGTAATTGGGATGATCGGTATTTGGATGAGTGGTGGTATTTATACTCCTTTGAATTTGCATGATCCTGATAAGCAACTGAATGCATACATTCAACAGACTGATGCTCATTTCATTCTCGTGCATCAAACTACACAGAATCAGCTTCTTTCTCAATGTTTAATGATCAATGTTGGTCAAGTCATTTGTTTCCATCATATAAACGCAGAAATAACAACATACATTGATTCTATCAATGTAACACCTGAACATATCTCACATATTATTTTCACAAGTGATCGTTCTGGCTTACTAAAAGCAGTAAGTCGATAGAAAGAATTAGTCTACAAGCATATGATTGACTTGTTCTTTGTGATTACCCTAGGTTCAACTTCGCCATCACAATTTTATTTCAAGTGTTCGTTCCAATCATATCCACCCGATGGATACTGTTCTTTATCATACATCAGTTAATTTCGATATTCATTTATTAGAAATCGTTGAAACTCTAATAATGTGTGGTCAAGCAATTCTACTTCATCCAAATGGCAATCTTAGTATGAATTTCTTTTCGAAAACAATTGAGCGTCAACAAATCACTTTTTTTGAATATTGTGCCTTCATTGCTAAGCATATTCGACGATTATTTAAGCACTGCAAGTAGTAAGGAGAATTTAAAGACACTTCGCTGTGTTTTATCTGGAGGTAAAATACAATACTAAGGTCTATTTCTTCTTCAGTCTATCATCTTCTTTCGATAGGAGAACCCTTGATGACTAATACTATGCGCAATATGTTGAATTTTGTAAATGAGCGCTGTCGATTTTATAACTATTATGGATGTACAGAATGTACAGGAACAGTAATGCAATATATTGGTGAAAGCAATAATGATGATGCTGAGTTTTTACCAATTGGACGACCTTTACCAAATATTCGCATATATCTCTTGGACGAATATCTTCAATCGGTTATACCTGGTGTCCAAACAGGTGAAATCATCATTGGAGGTAATATTTCATAGAACTAAATCAGTTATCATCTTTTTTACATCGGAATAAAATAAGAGCTATGTCATTATTTTGTATATTAATAGGCTGTGGAGTATTTTCTGGCTATTATGGATGTAATCATCTTACACATAGAGTACTATGTGAGTTCAACGGTGAAATTTGTTATAAAACAGGTGACTTAGGTTGGATGAATACCAGAAACCGACAGCTTGAATTCAAAGGATATTGGAATCATCAGGTGAAATTGAGCAGTCAACCTATGGCACTTAAAGACATTAGAGAAGTTTTGATGAAGATAGTTATCGACTATTTGGTTATTAAAGCAAAACACAATGATACTGATTACTTCCTGGCCTACGTTCAAACAACGCACACTATTCAACATTTGAGACAATATTGCTTAGCCCATCTACCATTCTATATGGTGCCATCTAGTTTTATGATTCTTGATGCCTTGCCTGTCGATCAAAACGGAGAAATAGATCAAAGAAATCTTCCACCGCCTGATTTTACTTGTCGCCCTACGTTTCTAAGTGAAGAAAAACTACCACGAACCGAAATGGAGCAACGTGTACACAAAATATGGTATCAAGTACTCTCTCATGTTGACTCAACACTATCAATCTCAACGTCATTCTTTTCTCTCAAAGACGATCCTGGATCGTTTATAAGCTTATTTCACTTATACTCAGTTAATTTCAAGCACAATCTTCCAATCATTATGTTTCTCAAACACCCAACAATTACTGCACATGCTCGTCTTCTGCTCGAAAATATAACTTTACGTACAACATCTCCTGATCGATGTCAATTGATAAATATTCGAGAAGGTGAGTAAAGTTGGCCTAGACTTCCTTATAAACTATTCTTTAAATGCGATTGTCCTTTTGACACCAAGTCGAATTCACATGTCTATATGCAAGTGCAGCTAGCCGTATGGTACAATGGATTATGTATTTTTTGTACCTCTTTTTCAGTAGGTCACAATAGACATCTATAGAAAAGAATTTATTAGATGTTCATGGTTAAACAAACTGGAAAGACTCGTTTTTTTATCATAGCTAATATGCCAAGTTTCTATTTCTCAAGAAAGTCTTTAAACACGTTGTGTCAAGCTATCATCACTTACTGACGCGTCACATCTCTTTCTTTATTACTGCACTTTCTCTCGCCGTTCTGTTTTTTATAGTATTCAGGTCGTATACTAATTTGAAAATATTTGTGTGCCAAGAAGCACGCCATCCCTTCTCATTTGAGCCAACTAACATTACGTGAAACGATGCTAACAAGCACATTTCTTCAACGTGATAGGGTCAATAGGGTTTACATAAGATGACGGACGTCCTTTCGTATGGCACCCCTTGTTCTCTCGAGCATCGATTAACGTGTTCTCTAATATCTCCGCTCTCTTACCTTGTCCTTCTTCATCTCTCTGCTCCATTTCCTCTTATTCCTCTCTTCCATTTCTCTCTTTCCTACATTTATATCTCTCCTACCTTTATATATCGCTCTATTATATTTATTTCCTGCTCTCGTCGATTTGTCTCTCTCTTTTTCTCTCTCTATATATGGTTGTATCAAACACTAAGGAGTCAGTTGGAGTTAGGTCTCGAATAGTTACAGTCTATTACAGGCTGTGACACTTAGTTGTTAAGCGAGCAAGTTGGCGAACTAGTAACGAAACTAAGTCAAGTCAAGAACCATAAGCCTACCCTTCACTTATACACATACTTTTATTGTGTGCCTTGCTGTGCTTATATAATATATTGTACATTCATATAATATATCTCTCCAATAAATCATCATTGGCGTGGTGTTGTATCTATTGTGCTTCATTCAATCCAATTCATACATTGGCACGTACACCTACCACTGGCTTGACTTACTATAATAATAATCACCCACTGTCTGATTATTGTTAATCTCTATTTTTCGTTACAATTTGTTTTACAATGTCACCACAAAAGGAAGTGGAATATTGTCAAGTCGGATAAACTTGAAGGCCGTGAGGTGAGAATGTCTCTTTCAAACAACCAAACATCATACGTCTTAGTGTACAGAAAGAGAGCTGCTTTTAAAAACATGTCAATAATTCAAACTTTTCAAAAACGTCAGATTGTTGCTAATAAAGTAACTATATATGATGCTCACGATTTACAGGTAAAAATAACATTAGAAAACAATACAATGAAAAGCGGAGACTAATGCTTCACCACTTTTGAAAATTTAGAAGACACGGAGTAAATGTAATGAAGTGGGTGGGATGTGAGTTTGTGGAGTGTGGGTGTGGGTGTAGGTGTGGCTGTGTGTGGGTGTGGATGTGGGTACTCAATTCAGTGGCACCCACACCCACACCAGCACCAGCACCCACACACCCATACCCACACCAACACCCACAGACCCACACCCACACCCACACACCCACACCCACACCCACACGCCACACCCACACCCACACCCACACCCTGAAGGAATCAACGAGTAATCTCGAATAAATATATGAGTGCTAAACAGGAACATAAGAAAATATTTTCGTCGGTTATAAATAAAATGGAAATATCTTAAAAAAGATATGCATAAGATAGATAAAAAAATTTATGGTACTTTGTCAATAAGTCAAGAGTATTTGCATCCCATGCGATCATTAATTGTCAGTAGCTCGTTTCTGAGCTAATGTTAAGTTTGCATATATTCCTTTTTGTGTCAAGAGTTGTTTATGTGTACCCTAAAATAAGATTTATTTTCTCGTGTATTAGATGAATATTATACTAACTTCTTCTACCACTTTCCCTCGATTAACAACAGCAATCTTTTTCGAATTTTGAATGGTTGATAAACGATGAGCAATTATTAAACATGTTCGGCCTATTCGTGCGTGATCTATTGCTGCTTGAACAACTTTTTCACTTTTATTATCCAACGCTGATGTCGCTTCATCAAATAAAAGAAGTTTTGGCGAACGAATCAATGCTCGAGCAATAGCAACTATTATATATTGATATATTTACATATATATTCATTAATTAGAGCATAAAAAACTGACTTCGTTGTTTTTGTCCACCAGACAAATGACTCCCTTTTGCTCCACATAATGTATCATAACCCTATAAGATTAATAGATTGAATTGAATGAAAAAAAGAAAAAATAAATAAACTTTAGGTAATGTAATGATGAATTCATGAATATTAGCCATTCGAGCAGCAGTTTCAATTTCATCTTGTTTTACTTCTCGACTATTATTACCATAAGCAATATTATCACGAATAGAAAGATTAAAAAGAATTGGTTCTTGTTGTACAAGACCCATTAATGATCGAAGCCATCGAATATTTAACGTTTTTATATCGTGTCCATCAAGTAAGATTTTTCCTTGCAATGGATCATAAAACCGCTGTAATAATGCAATAGCTGTAGATTTTCCACTTCCTGATGGTCCAACAAGTGCTGTTGTGTTATCAGTTAAACATTTCAATGAGAAACTTCTCAAGACAGGCACAGTTAGTCGAGTTGGATATCGAAAATAAATATTATGAAATTCAATATTACCAATAACATCTTCCTAAATAGAAAAAAGCCGATTCACTTTAGTTTGAAATAAATTGTCATGTGACTAGTGATACCAAAATTATGCCTGATTCATTATTAGGATTGATTTGCGACTGTCTATTGTGAAGTTTCATAATTCGTAATGCTGCTTTTTTAGCTTTTGAATAATCAGGAATCATTGCTATTGAACGTCCAACAGCAAACATGGACAAAGAAAGAACGGAAAATACTCTGTCATAAAAGATTTGTCTATACGAAAAAAATGTCGATTACAAGCTACTTTACCTGTACATTTGGGAGAAATCTATTTCACCATTTTCGATAAGTTTGTAGCCATATCCAAACGTTGCACAGTGAAGAAAGTATGACATTGAATTAGATATAGCAACACCTAACGCTATTCGATGCATGTAGCACTTTTGTTTTCTAAATGTCTAAATGACTTAGAAATCAAAAAAAAATGTCGAAGTGTCATACTTAAATTCTTGATTGAATGCATGTTCATAAAGTTTGATAAAATGACTTTCTTGATGAAGAGCAGCAATAGTACGAATCTGTTCAATTGCTTGTGTTGCATGCTTAAATGAATTGTTATAAGCAATATAGCAACATGATGGTATAACAACAGAGCGAAACAAAAGGATAATCCTCCTTCGAAAGGGATCAAAGCTTACATATTTTGCTTTCTGAGCAGTTGTACTACAGCTATGCTAGAAAGAATATTCTCTACTTGTCTTATAAGCAAAGGGAAACACGGCTGTTATAATACGAAGTGTTATAAATATAAGAGACGATGAAATCTATTGAATACCTGTCCGCCCTGTTCAATAAATGAATCCTTGTTTTTTGATTGTCCAGTCTTTCCTTGCCGTTGACCTCGAACTTTGCCTGCTAGCAAAATGACAGGAGAAAAGCACAACACAACCAACGTCATTTTCCAACTTGCTATGAATGCAATTATAAGACCTGTGAAGGCAGCACCCACCGATTGAAGAATAATTCCGATACGAATACCAGTCAATCCCTAAAAGTCAATTTTCATTATTAAATGCCTGTAATATATTTGTATGATAAAAAGATTTTTAACCAAAATATATATTTTAATTTTTAGAAAGTTTTATTAATATTAATTTTAATTACCTTTAAAGCTGATGAATCTGAAGAAAGACGTGTAACAAGAGCTCCGACAGTATTAGATTCATGATCGAAATAACTCATTTCTTGCCGGAGCATTGCACTAAATGTTAATTTTCGCATACGCATCGTCAGTGCTTCGCCAGATTTTGCAAAACAAATACTACTGATAAATTGGCTCATACCTGCACCGAGTCCGATACAAAAACATATTATAGTATAAATGCGTATCAAACGTTCTTGCTCCTGGTGGTCTGGTATAGCATATGAACGATAGATATTTGAAGAAATCCACCCAAAAAACGGTTGAGTAGTACCAAAACCAAGAGA